ACTAACAGTCAATATAAGATCTCGAAGAGGCACCCCCTCTAAACGAAGGCCAAGGCCAACTCTCTCGGGGACTAGCTTTCGAACAAGTCCGGAAAGTTATCGGGAAACCAGTCCAAGTGACAAACCTGAAGGCTACTGCCATACTAAAGACTACTGTCATACAAGGCTACGGCCAAAAAATGAGGCTTGGAGACGTCTGAATTCCGCTATAAACTAAAGGCCTTCAAACATTGAAAAATCGGTTAAATCAGGCTACCCCCGGCAAAAGCAAAACATAAGGGGCCTCGATAAATTCGGCCCCGAAAAACCTAAGTACTTCGATAAATCAGCCCTCGAACAGTCCAAGTGCTTCGATAACACCAGCCTTCGAAAACCCTTAAGAGGCATTCGTCTATGTCCACACAAATAGAATGACTAATAAGGTTCCGATACGTCGAGCCTTCGAAAAACCCAACGGGTACACAAATACATGCTAAGGCATAACTAAAAATTTCATTAAGTCTTTTAGCCGAAGTGAGGGAAAGCTATATAGCCATTTTAGAGGCCGAAATGGCCCAATTTAAAGAGCCTAAGGGCCAACCTAAAAGTGCCTAAGGGCCAATTCTAAAAATGAGCCTAAAGGCCGATATACAAGAGCCTAAGGGCCAGCTTAAAAAGAAATATAGAGTCAAAGACCTATGGGAGTCTGAGACCCCGTTCTCGTTTAACTCGGACCCAAAGGCCCCGAGCTCACATTAATTTAACTTTAAGTTTGGCTCGGGGATCATCTAAAACCCTAAGGGGTACGATCTTGGGCAATAAAAGCCTAAGGGCTTATTGCGAGTCTAAAACCAATACTCGGATTTAACATGTGAATCATCGGAAATTTATATGAACGAAGACAAAATAAAAAGTCAGCAAAAATCAAGAACAGAGCAAAAAGCTACTATATATTCATCCAGGAAATTTACAAAGCATATTACAACGAAGGACCCTTATACAAAAATAGAAGCCTAATCTATTTTCGGGGCCACGTCCCCGGGAGTGCCATCTTCATCTCCGGTAGCTTTATCTTCTGGAGACTCTTCCCCTTCGGAAGCATCTTCTTCACTTTCCTCGTCCCCGGAGCCACTCACCACGTCCTCATCATCAGAGGAGACAAGAAACCTAGCATCGGTTTCGCGTGCTTGTGCTTCGGCTATCTCCTCTGCAAGGTCAAATCCTCGAGAGTCTTCCTTCGGGCTTGACACTTAGCCAATCCACTGCTCCGTTTTGCCCGATTGGAGGCCGCCCTCAACTCAGCTTGAACGGCCGCGGCTTCTTTCTGGTATATAGCGATGGATTTATCGGCCACAACCTTCGTCTTCTCAGCCTCGACCTTGGCTTGTGCAGCTTCAGCCTTAGCATATGCAGCTTTAGTCTGGGCTTTAGCCAGTTCGGCCCCCAGCCCCTCGATTTCCCTGGCCTGGGCCAAACCTTTCGCTTCAGCACCACGGAGCTGAGCCTCAGCCGAGGTCAGTTGAGCCTTAACAACTTCCTTTTCGGTAGTGAGTCGATCCAGGTTCTCCTTCCACTGGTGGCAATCAGCCCGAACTTGGTTCACCTCGCCCCGGAGCTGCCCAATCATGTCCAGCTTTTGCTGCAGCTGAGACATCGAAGTATTAGCCTCCGAAGCAGGGCCAAGAATGCCGAACTTTGTTAAAATCAGAGTTACCTGCTCGGACTCACTTTTTTAAGCTTTGGCCGAAAGCAGTCCGGAGGTCCTTAAGCTCCTCTTCCTTCTGACTACAAAGGAGCCTCAAGGCCTTTTCTTCGCCCGAGACTCTTTTAAACTCGACCTCACATTGTTTCAGCTCGGCCTTGAACTTTGCAACAGCCTATACGTGAAATAAAGATGCGTCAGTAGAAGAGGAAAACAAAGGGAGAAAAACTTGTAATGAATAGGGCAGGTCTTTACCCGGAGAAAGAGACGCTGGGCCTCTTCAAAAATGGAGGATGCATCATTGAAGTCATCGACACCCTCAACCCCAGCATAGCAACTCTGGAAAGGATCATTCGCGATGACCTTACTTGGGTCGGGCATATGCAAAGTGTTGGTTTCCTCGATTGCCTCCCCAGAATAAGTCGGCAATGAAAGAGAATGACCTGTTGTCGCGGCCCGAGCTCTTCACTCAGAGCGTTCTCATTAACCTCGGGGGCCTCAGCATTTACCCCCTATGGTATAGCTGTTGAAGACGGAGGGAGAATCTCAACCTCCAGGCGTCCTCACCACAAGGTGGATTTTCTAGTTCGGAAGGCTTGACGGCCTCTACTGACCCCCCGGCCCGAGTCACCAGCGCCGATTCTTCCCCATCATTTTGCTTGCCATCCGGGGAGTCATGAGATGAGTCAGTGCCCGTTTGAGCAAACCTTTTTCGTAGCCTTCGAGTGGAGGTTTTCTTGTCTTGGGGGTCTTCGGGCTCAGAGACCCTCTTTCTTTTATTACCCTTCTCGAGCTTTGGACTTGAAGGCTTGATTGTTTCCCCGGGCGGGGCCGGCCTCATCTCAGACGCGTCTCCAAGGTCGTGGTTCTTGGCCTCCCATCGGCCCTTCGCCAATTCACGCCACTTACGATGCAGCTAGTTTCCTGACCCAAGCCTCGAGGTCGGGCACTGCCAAGGGCGCCCAAGCGTCGGCTGCCAAAAGAAAGATGAGTAAGCTATGAAAAATGAAAGAACAAGAATAGATACAATGGGAAATGCGGACTCCACTTACGATTAAAATTACCTCTCCAGGAACGGTATTTTTTCTTCGGGGATGATGTCCGAAGTCCTGACTCTAACAAATCGGCTCATCCAACCTCGATCTTTTGTTTCATCGGTACTTGCGAAGAAGAACTTCGTGGTTCGACGTTGCAGCTTGATAAGCCCTCGGAATAACTGGGGCCGATACAATCGAACTAAGTGGCTGAGGGTGAATTCTAAACCTTCGGCCTTCTCAGAGAAGTACCGGTACATGATCACGATACGCCAGAACGAAGGGTGGATTTGGCCGAGGGTGACTTCGTATGTCTTGCAGAAGTTGATCACCACCGAATCGAGGGGGCCCAGTGTGAAGGGATAAGTGTAAACACTCAAAAAACCCTCCTTATGGGTAGTTATGCTTTCATCAGGCTTCGGGATCTGAATCTTGACCTCGTCCCCCCATCGACATTCCTTCCTTACATCCTTGATGAACTGCGTGGTTATCAGGCTAATATATCGTGACACATGCTCGCATCGGCCCTCGACATTTGGAGGATTCTCGATATTGAAGTCCTTCTTAATGACGCAATCACCAGGGTAATCTCTTTAAGCGTCGGCGGCACCACCGGTTTGGCCGGCCGGGAGGCGGAGGAAGATGATGCTTTATCTTTTTTAGGGACCGTCTTGGAAGTTTTGGCCATGGTTATAAGGTAAGGAAGACGGGTGAACTGGGATGTAGTGTTTCCGGCTAGAGCTTGGTGTTTTACGGCATCTAAAGAGGCGGAGGAAACAGGTGATTGAAGAGATGAGGATTGGAAGAGATTAAAGAAAGGTAAAGTTGTTCACTAAAGGAAGACGCCTCATATTTATAGAGGGGCAGCGACGGTTTGAAGGCGTTAATGGCCGTCCAACACTGGCATGCATTTAATATTTTGGGAAGCAGGCCGATGGGACGTTTCGGTCACTTCGTACGTTGGTTTCACAAGGACGACGTCATCGCGAGAGGCTCGGGAAAATTGAGGTTCAAATCGTTTCATATCATTCCATTCTAAGAAACGCGGGGACTATCTGTATGCGGTCAAAATCGAGGAGCACAATTTCAAAGTCTTAAATCGGGCTATGGGTCCAAGTCCGGGAGACTCGAAGTGGGGATCAGATTCGGTTAAGGAACACCCGCCTCGAGGAAGCTGATCGAGGACCTGGCACAACTTGCATCGAGGGCGTCGCAATCTCGAAGTCAATCAAGAAAGAGCGGGAATTTCTCAAGGACACGTGGACCTGGGCATTAATTATAGGATAAGGGCTGTACGAAATGGTACAGGTCCGTACTAGACCGTTATACACATGTACCAATAGAATTCTTTACTTTGATGAGCAATGTACTATTTTGTGGTTTTCCCCTCCTATATAAAGGGGACCTCAATCATATTGTAAAGGGATCAGATCATTCACTGCAATAGAACATTCTTATTCTTCTCTTGTTTAACATGCTCAGCAATTACTTTTCAGCTTTATTGTCTTTACTTTATTGTTCATACTTTATTACTCTTAGCTGACCTCGAGGTCCCTGGATAACTAAGTTCGAGGCCCCCTACAGTTCCAACAACATCAATTTGTTTCTTTGTTTCTTCTTACTTAAACTCAATATTACTCATATAATCACTAGTATTAGAATATATCACATATCTTTAAAACCACAAATCATCTTTAATTGTTACTTACATTTTTCGAGGTAAACAATCTCCACGGGTGTATTCCCACGATGTGAGGTATGGGGTATGTAATGTGTATGCAGACCTTAACCCTACCTTGTAAAGATATAAAGACGATTTCCGATAGACACTTCTACTCAAAAAAAGCCAAAAGGGAACCCCGTAACAATAATAGGCTAAATTATTGGATAGTTGGGGGAGATTTCTTAGGTCCTTTCTCTACCTCAAGAAGAAAAACAAAAACCAGAACATTGATCAGTTCAAGTAGAATAACAAATGAATTATATGCTGCTAGGATTAAGAGCTTCTATCTACATATTTTCTTAGGGGCAGCCTGGTGCACAAAATAGCCGCATTCACGCAAGGTCCAGAAAAGAGCCGCACCCCAAGGGATGTAATATAGACAGCCTACCCTAATGAAAGCATTAGCGATTGCTTCCACGGCTCGAACCCGTAGATAATAGGTCACACGAAGACAACTTTACCGTTGCTCCAAAGCTCCGCTTCTATTTCCTAAAACAATCTTGAATATTAGCTAGAGTTCACCATCAAACAACCAAAAACAAAAAACACAAACGGGGCAAACTGAATAAATAGTAACCACATGAACTCACGATAAAGCATAACTTTTAAAACATAGTAGACGTCTCCTCCATACGCTAAAAGAGGATTTTACAGACAACAGAAACTCACAGACACACAGTCACATACATAAGACATAAAATGCAGTTACAAAGGGGAGAAAGGAAGATTATAGTATCAACTTACAACCTCCCCTCAATTTATTCACAACAGACACTTAAGCATAAGTTGAAAGAAAAGACAATAATATTAATGCACCAGACTCTTGACAAAGTCTAGTCTCCCCACCACTGATGAGCAAAAACACCACTTCCCCTCAGAGTTTTGAAAAGGCTAATGCAGTCTCCACAAAGAGCATTTTTGCAGTCCGCAGCTGAGCAGCGAAGGAATAGTTCATCGACATTGCATATTGAACGAGTTCTGAATAGTTCAGCTAGAATATTCAGCTCCGCTGTTCTAGCATTCATCATGAGGACCACGTAATCTCCTTCTTCAACGGTTTCACTGAACCATGGAATAAAGTCAAATCCTTCATGATCCAGCGGTGCACTTAAATATTCATCGGAGTCAAGAAACGGGGAAGCATCCTCTCCACCAAGTCCCGGATGGTACACAAAGTTAATACCGGGATTCTTTACATACAAAGGGAGGGCAGAGGTGTTGTGATCAATGACGAAAACATTGAGAAAGTGGTGAGGGATTGGATAATGAGGCTTGAATATTTTTGCAATACTTGATTCTACAAATTCTCCAGCACCAATGTTGATATACACCAGTTTGTTCCTTGACGAGATATTCATGAACTTAGGCAAGTACGAAATTTCTGTCTCAAACTGTCCGGACCTTTTCTCCACGAGTGGCTCAAGGTATTTCAAGAACGGCTTGTTGTTCGTGGTGGACGGACAATTAGCAGGCAGTACAGCACGCTCGAGAGATTCAACAATCTCAGATCTTTTCTTGAACATCACTAGTGTAAAGGAGCCAACCCCACATACGTGCACAACATCGGAACTCTTCAAGAATGAGGAAACTGGTGTAGCAGACCTAATCAAGTTGCCTTTTATCAAGTTGCCCGCATAGAAACTACTAGAGCCCACGAGCATAGCACCGGTGCCCCCTGGACGTAAGACACGCTCAATCTCAAGCACCAAAAGAGCTGGAACAGAGACCCGATCAAGATCTCTTGAGAATACAAAGTCGAAAGAATTATCCTCATAATCGAGCTCGTACACAAATCTTCTCCACAAAAGAGAGAAATATGGGTGTCTATCAACACCAATAGCATTCCAGACTCCCAGCTCTCGCAGCGCCAAAGCTGCAGCCAACGATTTCTTCCCAACACACAATGCTTTGGCATTCAAATCCAAGAAATTCTTTTCCATTAGCTCCTTAAACACATTCTTGCTCAAATTTTCATCTTCACATTTTACCAAAGCCGCCCCAAAAAGCGGAAAGGCCAATCCAGAAACGGGTTTAAAGAACCCGGTCACATTCATATTAGGGTTGGAGCCAAAGTTCAAGGGGCATACACCAAAATTCAACACCATAGGCTCAGAGTTCCGAATCAAATGCCCCATTTGAACGAACGAGACAACGATCATAACAGTGACAAACAAGAACCCTTTCACAATTAAGCGTTTCACTAATGACCCGTGAAGAATTTGCAATTTCAAGACGTTCATATCCATTTTTCTGTTCAAATTCTCACTTTAAAGCTCAAAACCTTTAAGGACTTCCCAAGTTTTCAAGATCAATAACAGAAACTGAAATTTTCACAGAAGCTAAAAAGCTCTAATTTTTTTTCAATCAGATTGATTAAAAAGAGAAGATTTAAGCCAAATAAACAAGAAAATCAAACAGATTAGCGAGTACAAAACCTGGAGGAAGTGTGATTTCCACCCACCAGTAATACTATAGACATTTGGCACCCAAGCAAGACCCTTTTCGGAACCCTTTTACCCATTGGTACGAACCAACTTTGACCCATTTCAGAACCCCAATTCATCAAACCAAAATTGAGCTCAATCCACTTCACATTTTGATATAAAGATTGAATTTTTATGTGCTAAATTTGTCCAAGAACTGAAAAAAAAGGATTAGGGTTGTAAAAAAAAGGAAGTTTTTTGGATCTGGGAATGTGATAAGAGTGGAGTGGAAAGTGTGAATGGGAAAGGAAGAAACCAAGGAAGGTGTTACTTAACATGGAAGAAGCTCAAGCTCAGTTGTACGAGAGTTTAGGTCTTTGTCGGTTATCCACTACGTGTCGCATGAAGAACGAATCACAGCTCGTGGGTGGGTCCCAGTTAAGTTAGTACTGAATTAGTTGACTCAGTTAGATTTAGGTTTGATTGAGTCGAGAACTCGAGGTATGAAATATTTTCTTTTTAAAACTAGATTTAGTGTATTCTGTATAAAAAACATAAACTTTTTTAAAAATAACATAAATAATACTCAAATGTATCTCTATTATAAAACAAATATTAACAAAAAAAAACACGAGTTCCTGAAAATAATAAATATTAATCATGTGTGTCGGGTTTGTATCCAGTGTAGCGGTTCTTTTTTCCGGTTTGTTTTTATTAATTGCTTTATTGTGCAAAAACGTTATGGAGTAATGTTTGATTAAAAGACAAAGAGGTTGTTCGATTTTACATGTGATATGAGGCCTTGCTAGGTATACTGCTTTTATGTCATATTAATTTTTTTTAAAAAAAAACTGAGTATGATAGATTATTGACAATTGAAAATATTTTATTCATATTTTACTTAATTTATGAGAGCGCTAACTTGTATCCTTATTTTAATTATGCTTTAGTAATAATATTAGGCATCGCAACTCGACAAATACTAATCGTTCTTGTAAATGATATCTCGATCGTATCTTACTCTATATGTAATGCCTTTCTAAAGTACTTTATATTACACATGATGGATTACATAATATAAACAATTTTATTCCTATTAAATGAGACAAAAGTATACAACTTTTATTAAAAATAACTTTCTTATCTTATATGTTTAAGGTGAATACTAAGATTGTACTTATTATATTGACTAATTAGATGAATGCTGAGACGAATTAGTTTATCCTGCTTATAAGCTTAGTGAATATATTCTTTTTCATTGCTTGATTTGTATTGTAATTGATTAGATTAAAAGTAATAGAATATAAGACTAAATTTAAAATATATAAAATTAATAATAAATAATTAAAATAAGAAAAAATCTCGGATACATGATTAAGATGAGAATAGATAAGCCATAAAATATAGAGTAATGCATTAATAAGTCACAACAAAATAATATTCTTGCAACCAACAAACAAATGTAAGAAACAACTTACGGAATTTCTTTAAATAAAAGGTCACGTACACACACAAAAAGTGAACAACAATTAAATGGGAAGTCAAATAGTATTTGGTTCAAAGTCCATACAATTAGGTTGTCTAATTTTGGTAAAATCTTATTTGATTTTGAAATTCTAAATTTAGAATTTTTTACATAGTTTAAATAAGAAAGTATTTAATATACAAATTGAATTAATTTTGAAGCCATAAATTTTAGGCAAATAACTTAAATTACTATTTTATCTAATATAAAATATATTTTTAAAGGGTAAAAAAGGCGAACGATATTTCGCTAAGGGCTTTCGTGCTTTTAATATAGTATATATATATATATATATATATATATATATATATATATATATATATATATATATATATATTAAAGGAATAAAGTTTGCATTGTGGTTAAGCCAAGTGGCAAGCTATTATAAAGCCACTTGGCAATCTTAAGGAGAGTATGTGGGAGATTGTCAAATAGGAAATATCACTTAATAACTATATATGGAATTCTGTTTATTAAAATTAAATTAAAATAAATTCTTTATTTAAAATAAACTTTTTTTGTAAACAGATAATTTAATTGTAGATATATAGAGATAGTGTGCGGGAATTTATACTTTGAATTGATTTAAATGATAAAATAAAGCAAATAAAAATAGTCAAAAATATTATGATAAATTCAAATATTTTGATATCAATAGTATTTGGATTCCTTTTCTAATATTGGAAAGTAAAAAAAAAAAATTTGTCTATTATTGAATAAAACACTAAATGAAAAAATTTATTTCAAATATCATACTTACTAGGAAAATAATTTATAAAGAGGGGGGTAAAGATAGTGTGCGGGAATTTATACTTTGAATTGATTCAAATGATAAAATAAAGGAAATAAAAATAGTCAAAAATATTATGATAATTCAAATATTATATAGTGAAAGATTAAAATAAATAAATAAATAATTTTATGAGAAAGAAGAACTATTCAGTATAGTATATAATAACAAAAGTAGCAGATAAGGATATAAAGCAGGTGACAAGCTAATAAAAAGTTACGTAATAATGTAACCATATTAAGTAACGGGTAACACAGTAACAATAAACAAAGAACAAAAAATAGAGAGTTTGTGGGAGATTGTCAAATAAGAAAATATCACTTAGGAACTATATATGGAATTCCATTTATTAAAATTAAATTGAAATAAATTTTTTATTTAAAAATAAAGTTTTTTAAATTAAAGAACTATATATATTAAAGGAATAAAGTTTGCATTGTGATTAAGCCAAGTAGCAAGCTGTAACAAAGCCACTTGGCAATCTTAAGGAGAGTATGTGGGAGATTGTCAAATAAGAAAATATCACTTAAGAACTATATATGGAATTCTATTTATTAAAATCAAATTGAAATAAATTCTTTATTTAAAAATAAAGTTTTTTTGTAAACAAATAATATAATTGTAGATATATAGAGATAGTGTGCTGGAATTTATACTTTGAATTGATTTAAATGATAAAACAAAGAAAATAAAAATAGTCAAAAATATTATGATAAATTCAAATATTTTGATATCAATAGTATTTGGATTTCTTTTCTAATATTGGAAAGTAAAATTTATTTTTGTCTATTATTGAATAAAACACTAAATGAAAAAATTAATTCAAATATCATACTTGCTAGGAAAATAATTTATAAAGAAGGGGATAAAGGTAGTGTGCGGGAATTTATACTTTGAATTGATTTAAATGAAAAAATAAAGCAAACAAAAAAAGTCAAAAATATTATGATAATTCAAATATTAAATAGTGAAAGATTAAAATAAATAAATAAATTATTTTATGAGAAAGAAGAATTATATTCATTATAGTATTTATAATAGAAGTAGCAGATAAGGATATAAAGTTGGTGACAAGCTAATAAAAGGTACGTAATAATGTAACCATATTAAGTAACGGGTAACACAGTAACAATAAACAAAGAACAAAAAATAGAGAATTTTTTTTTTGTAAACAGATAATATAATTGTAGATATATAGAAGGATTAGACATTAAAATTTGATATGAGAAAGTTTTTTGAATTATTACGAGAAAAATATATTATATAGATAATATCACACAATTGAAAACATAATTGATAAACGTAAAATTTAAAACATTTACAATCAAAATTTGGAAACTAAAGAATTTTGATATCAATAGTATTTGGATTCCTTTTCTATATTGGAAAGTAAAATTTAGTTTTGTCTATTATTGAATAAAACACTGAATGAAAAAATTAAATAAAATATCTATATCTATATATTAGATATATAGAAGGATTAGACATTTAAATTTGATATGAGAAAGTTTTTTGAATTATTACGAGTCAAAACATATTATATAGATAATATCACACAATCGAAAACGTAATTGATAAACCTAAAATTTAAAACATTTACAATCAAAACTTGGAAAATTTGGAAAGTAAAAAGTTACGTAATAATGTAACCATATTAAGTAAACAGATAATATATATGGAAAAAAAAATGGAAAAAAATTTAATTGCTTATTGCAACTAAATAATAATAACTAAAAGTATTATTAGATTTATAATAAATAATAAAAGAACTTCTTCGTTTAAACTTTATCCTATTTTCAACCGAATTAGAAGAATTTTGAAAATATAAGTTTAAAAAAAAAAAATATATATATATATATATATGTGTGTGTGTGTGTGTGTGTGTGTGTGTGTGTGTGTGTGTGTGTGTGTGTTATGCTAAAAAAAAGTAGTGGATATGAATTTAAGTCAAGTTAATATAAAGAATTCTATGCAATTCAGTGAACATAAAATATTAAATAAAATCCCATATAGAAAATAATAAAATTCATAATTTTATATAGAAAATAAAATAAAGGAAACTTATTGCTTTTATAATACAAAATATATACATTACTAAAAATATCAGTAGATCTTTTAACACGGTAATAAAAAGCTTTTAACTTTAAGATTACCACATTATTTTAATTATAAATAATTAATAAATGTGAAAACTAATAAAACATCACAGTAAAAGTACTTCACTTGATAAGTTAATAAGGAAAAAACAAGGAATAAATAAGTTATTCAATGACTATGATTCATATCCTTTATTTCATAGAGATTGTTTCGCACAGTGCAATAAAAATTAACATAGCAATTAAAATTTGGTTAAACAATATGATCTAATGTGCTCTAAGATCATAATTTGACAAGATTATAATATATTCTTTAACATTATTCGCGCATCGCGCGGATTCTAATACTAGTATAGGATAAGAGCAAAAATTACAAGGTGGGAAATCTATTACTCAAGTATAGGTAAAACTAGATGATGTACCCGTGCGATGCACGGGCCCAATTGTTGCTTTTTTTTTTTTTCTTCTTCTTGTTTTCATCATTTTAATATTTCTTGGTCTATTGTTAATTACACACTTTCTACGCCTCTAGGGAAAGAAGAAAGAGAATAGACTTTTGTGTAATAACGTATAGAACCACGATTACATGTATTGTTATTTATCTTCTGCATTATGTGCATTTTAATTTTTCTGAAATCTTATTACTATACCAATCACTTTGAAACACTTGTCGAGTTTAATGCTTTATTATACAGTGATTAGATAATAATTCAAGTAGAATTTAAATTATTTCTACATAGGTCCTTTTTATTTTAAATTTTTTTTTGCATCACTAAGCCTTAAATTAATAAATAGTAATTAAAAAATCAGTTGAAAAATAAGTCGTCATGTATTTTTCTCATTTTCTAAATTGAGTAATATATGATTTTATTCTTTTAGTATTTTCAGTGTGTTAATGTATTATTTTTTTGTTTTT